CCTCCTCCTCCTCCTCCTCCTCCTCCTCCTCCTCATCCTCCCCCTCCTCCTCCTCCTCCTCCTCCTCCTCCTCCTCCATCCTCCCTCTTCACCCTCCTTCCTCCCTCCTCCTCCTCCTCCTCCTCCTCCTCCTCCTCCTCCTCCTCCTCCTCCTCCTCCTCCTCCTCCGATTCCTTCTCCATCCTCCCCATCTCGGGGTATAACGGCTCCCCCAGCCCTTTCTTCTCATGCATGATCCTCCACATCCCTAGTCTGGGTAACTCGCCTGGGCATCGTTCCTGGATGGGCTGGTGGGGTTACGCGAAGCGTCTAGCATGTACACGAATCAGGAATAAGAGCAGGGTGAGGTAAGGATGAAGATGAGGAGGAGAAGGAGGAGGAGGAGAAGGAGGAGGAGGAAGAAGAGGAGGTGGAGGAGGTGGAGGAGAAGGAGAAGGAGGAGAAGAAGGAGGACGATGAGGAGGAGGCGGAGGAGGTAGCGGAGAAGGAAGAGGAGGAAGAGAAGGAGGCGGCGGAGGCGGAGGAGGAGGAGGAGGAGGAGGAGGAGGAGGAGGAGGAGGAGGAGGAGGAGGGATGGGGAGGGGGAGAGGAGGCGGAGAGGAGGAGGAGGAGGAGGAGGAGGAGGAGGAGGAGGAGGAGGGGGAGGAGGAGGAGGAGGCGGAGGAGGGCGAGGAGAAGGAGAAGAAGGAGGAGGAGAAGCAGAGGAGGAGGAGGAGGCGGCGGAGGAGAAGAGAAGGAGCAGGCGGAGGAGGGGAGGCGGAGGGAGGAGGAGGAGGAGGAGGAGGGAGGAAGCAGAAACAGGAGAGAAGGAGCAGGCGGAGGCGGAGGAGGAGAGAAGGAGCAGGCGGAGGAGGAGGAGGAGGAGAGGAGAGGAGAGAGGAGGGAGGAGGAGGAGGAGGAGGAGGAGGGGAGGAGAGGAGGAGGAGAGGAGGAGGGGGAGGAGGAGGAGGAGGAGGAGGAGGAGGAGGAGGAGGAGGAGGAGAGGGAGGAAGAGGAGGATGAGGAAGCAGAAACAGGAGGAACACTGGGCCACAGACGAGGCGCCAAGCCGCCGGCCCTGAGGCAGAGCGGCCTGGCTCCACTGCGGCCGCGGGCCGCTGAGGGCTGCCCGCGTGCGGCAAGTTCGTGCCGTGGCTGCTCGTGCGCTGGCTTCTGCCGTGGCGCGGGTGTCAACGGGGGGTTACCTCAATTGGGGGCGAAAGAAGGGGCCCTAAAGGTGACTTTTTCTTATAGACGAGCGCGTTGCACTACTCGCAGAGTAACTACTCGCAAATGGCCTGAATCCGCCGCAGGGGATCTACGATAATTGCCATCGAAGCAAACCTCTGCTTTCGGACGTTTGCGAGTAGGCACTTTGCGAGTAGTGGAACGCGCTCGGCGATCTTCGCTTCCCGTTTAGGTCACCCCCCGTTGTTGCCCGCACGACTGCCGGACTGCTCGTGCGCTGGTCTCTGCCGCGACGCGGGTGGCTCCGCCTGGAGCGATCGCGGCTTGCCGATGCCGCGGAGAGCGCTCGACGTCGGCCGACGCTGAGCCGCAGGCAAGAAGAAGCGAAGCATCTCTGCGCGGGGGGGGACTCTCGACGTCGGTGCTGTTCGCAAGGGCGGACGCGGGGAACACGAAGGTATGGGGCCTGGGGCCCCTCCAGGGGGCCGAACCCGGTGCATTCCCCCGAAACGCCGACCGCAGCATCCACCCCGCGAAAAGAGTCGGCCGACATGTCGGCCCGCGCCCATCTGCATACGGCAGGTTCGTGTCGTGTCGACCCCAGCGTTGGTTTTTGACACCGCAGGGATAGTTCAACCTTGAACGATCGGCCGCTGCCGCAACGTCCGATCGTTCAACGTAGATCGATTCTGGGTCGCCGGCGGCGTTCAACCTTGAACGCCCGCGCTGGGGTCGCCGCTGGTCGACACGACGCAAACCTACCGTAGAAACCATATTTCTGAAGTCCGCGCAGATTTTGCTGGTCGGCGCTGGGCCCCCTGGCGGCGCCACGGGCGCCGCCAGCGGGGACCCCGCGACGATCCAAGAACTCACCGCGAACCTTCGAAAAATTTATGGTCAGGAACTTTCGCGGAGCTTGTTTAAAGGGAAATTAGGACACACAAATAAATACACACAAATAAAAATAGTCCCCATATTTTCCCATATTTTCTGGGTTTTTGTCTTCCCCCCCAATTCCCATATTTTCCCATATTTTCCTGGGAATCGAGGATTAATTGTGTCTGTGTGTTTTTTTCCCTCCCGATTGTTGCGGCGGCGGCCGCGAGCGGATGGTGTGTCGCTCTGCTCCGCGGGGCGGGAGCTCGAGGAAGGCTCGGGATGTTGAAGCTCGGGGACCAAGAAATGTTTCGCGCGCCGCGCCGAAGCGTGGCGGGCCAGCACTTGCGGAACGACACGCTAAGCTCGGGGAGACGTAAGACCCGGGTACGGGGGACTCGGAAATCCCCGACGAGGTCGTCAACAAAAATGGCGAGGCCGAGCCTGCATTTTGACGAGGCCTCCCGCTGCAGACATCCCACGAAACTCCTCCTCGTCAAAATCCGAGTCGCGGTGGTCAAAAAACGATGGCGAACCCGAGTCTCGGCAAACCCGGGTCTTACGCTCCCCCGATAAGCCGAAGTTCCTGAACCGTATGTTTATGCCGATGTTCTCCTTCGACCAGCGGCATTCCGCCTCAACCGCCCGCGCTGTATAGTCGCTGCCGCCTCGACATGGCGCGGAACCCAGACCTCTCAATAACGTGGACTCCCAGAAATCTGGTCCCCTTTCCCGGGACCGGTTGATTGTTCCGAGTGGTTTTTTAGTAGTCCCCGGGCGCGGTAAGGGCTCCGGGAGGCAGAACACTTTCCCAAAAAGCACCCGTGGTGATCTTAGGTGCCCCGATACACAAAACGCAGCCCGTGGCATGCTGACACGGAGCTCAGCACGCAGATTGAGCACGCAGGCTTGGCGCGATCTGTTCGCTGAAGCGTGGGCCGACACCTGCGTTTCGAGACGTGCGTAGCGCGACAGCGAGGCTCGTGCTTTTGCACGACGGGAGGAGGACTGGGGATCTGCCGTAGGAGGAGGAGGAGGAGGAGGAGGAGGCGGAGGAGGAGGAGGAGGAGGAGGAGGAAGAGGAAGGGGAGGAGTGAGGAGGAGGAGGTCGTGGGAGCAGCTGGCCCTTCCAGGCAGGGGTGCGCCAGGGCCCCCGCCCTCCCGAGCGGGCCAGCAGCACCCGCCGAGCGGAGGCAGCGGCGGAGAGCCGCGAGTGGGATTGCTCTGCACTTCGGCGCGCACCTCCCTCGGCACGTCGCCTGCGCCTCGACAGTCATCCCTCAGCGGCGGGCCCCGGGGGGGGAAGCGAGGGGAGGCGCGCCTTCTCAGAAGGCGGCGGCCAGGGCTTCTCAGAGAAGGCCCCGCGCCTTCTGAGAGGTTTCCTGCGTCTGCGGAGAAGGCTCGGAAAACTTCCCAGAAGGCTGGAGGCCTTTACCGGCCTTCTGAGAAGACCCTCCCCCTCTGACTTCCCCCGGGGCCCGCCGCCGAATCTCTGTCCGCCTCGAACTTGGCCTCGAACCCCGCTTCGGTCTGCATCTTGAGGAGAGGATGGGGCGCGCAGCCTTTTTCTGCTGTCTTCATCTTCTCTCCCGGGAAGCGCAGCCCAGAGGCGACGCGGCAGCGTGGGCTCGAGCCGACCCCGTCGGAAGTTGCCAGGGGTGCTCCCGGCCTGAAGTGCCCCCAGCTCTTCGCGCCGCCTCGGAGCCCGCTGGGGGCGCCTCTGGGCTTCTGAAGGAAGAGCGAACTTTAGGACATATCGGCATCGACTGTCTGGAGGTCCGCGCAGAGTTTTTCGATCGGCGCTGGAACCCCCTGGCGTCGCCTTTGGCGCCACCCTGGCGCGCTTCACGCGCCAGGGAATCTGAAACATCTGCGCGGACCTCCGAAAATGTATGTTTTGCTCCACTCGTCGAATCAGGGGTACTTGGGAGGCCACCTTTTGGCACGCCCGCAGCAGGGACGGGTAACTATAGGGACAGTGCCCAAGAGCGGATGTTGTTCCAAGCTGGCAGCAGCCGCTGTTGGGCATGCTACGTCTGCATCAAGTGTGCCGTGTCCGCGGCCACACCGACAGCGAATCCACCTGGAACGGCTGTCGGCCTTCGTCCCCATTCTTTACGTCACCATTCCGATCCTCCCGACGGCTTGAGCCACCTAGGGCCAGGGTCGGCTGGACGCAGGAGTGCCCCTGGGCAAGAGTGACTTTTGGTGAGCGGCTTGCCGACCGTTACCTGCGAAGCATCCGTGGCGGCCTGCGTGCTTGTGCCTGGTCTCCCCCCGCCTCCCGAAAGCCGCACAGGCCAGCCTGGCAAAGGGCCACGTGTGGCCGAGGGGGTCGGGGTTCGGGCCATTACTCGGGAAGTTGGCGGCCGTCAGGGAGGATTCTGGCATCCGCGGGACGCCCCCGGCGAGGCGCAGCTGCTGGAACGCATCCCGCTGGAGGCGGGAACACTCAGCGAGAGAAGCAGTTATCGTGTTGGGAGGCAGGGGTTGAGAAGATGCAGGGTACAAGTGTGTGGTAAGTAAGTACCATCGACATGCGCGGCAATATCGATGATACACTCGTTTCTCCCAGCCCCAGCCTCCCAGCTGGATCACTGTCCGAGCTAGGAAGATAACTCCGAACCTCCACAAAAGCAGTAGAAAGCCTACCTAAAACCCCCAGCGTACAGCTGATAGGGCCGCCTCCGGACCCCCCCAGCCCTGGCGTTATGTCGGGACAGGCGGATTTTGGGCGAAAAATGAAAATTACCACAAAGTATACAAAAACACTAAACAAATACTAACACAAATCGTTCCCATACAATTTTTTGACTACTCCTCCTGTAGAGGGACAGGCCCGACTTAACCCTGGTGGGGAACCTCATGGCCCCGCGACCGGGGACTTCCTGGCAAACCAGGACGTTGGCACACCCGAGAAAGCTAAAGCCGTGGGTGGAAGCATTCTCCATGCTTCGCCCTCAAAGACGAAGCCAGGACGAGGAGAAACTCAAGTGAGGACAAATCGAAAACCTCTGAGGTCCAGCGGCTCTGTAGGACGCCTTGGGCGCCGCGGCCTTCTCAGAGCGCCCCGGAACGCTCCGGAACGGATTGCATGATCCTCGTCCTAGCTCCGTCCGACCCTCTCCAGCAAGGAGTTCTCAAAGACCCGATCTGCAGTGTCCTGGCCTTCGGGGCACTGGGAGCCACCCTGGGCCAGCTCGCCTGGCGGCGCAAGCCGACAGCCATGTGGAAAACGAATCAAAAGGGGACGTCGCCGGGGGGGGGGCCCTCGCCACGGCCAACCGGTGCGGCGCCTCGCCCCCGCCGTGTGCCTCTCCCCCGTCCTCCCTCGCTGGAGGGGGGGGGGCGAGGGAGGAGGAGGCGGAGGAGGAGGAGCAGGAGGAGGAGGAGGAGCAGGAGGAGGAGGAGGAGCAGGAAGAGGACCAGTGTAAACTCACGACTCATCAACGGTGCGGGAACAAGCCCTCCCTCCAAGCTCCCTCTTCACAGTCCCCAGCTAGAATATTCATCTCCACCGAGCCAAGTGCCCCGTTGGGAGACAACCGCTTGAAGATCCCGAAGCGTGCCAAAACAATACTAGCTGGACTCCAACGCCACGAATAAAACTGACTGTCGCGGCGTGGCGATCCTGAATCGTGCCAAGACGCCATTCTTTGGACTTCAACACCGCGAGCCAATCTGACTGTTGCGCCCTGACATTCCGACATACTGCCGAAACGCTATTTCTCGGGCGTTAGCCCTGAGAACAGTTGACGCTGCTGCAAGCTCGTAAGACGACTGTGCTCGGCGCCGCAACGAGAACAACATGTTGAACAAGAACCACCCTGAATCCGTGAAACGTTTATGCACTGTTTCGACGGGTGTGCGCGGCGCTACAGCGAGAACCACATCTTGAAAAGGAGCCGCCCTCCATCCGTGACGCTCTTACGAACGTTCGATTCAAATGCGCGCGGTGCTAAAGCGAGAACCACGTTTTGAACGGGAGGAGCAGGAGGAGAAGAAGGAGCAGGAGGAGCAAGAGGAGGAGGATGATCTAAGCTTCACTCTGGCCGTGGGCGCCGACAGCTCCACCACCGGAGCAAGCAGGGCGCGGAACACGGGAGTGGACCACGAGCACTCGTGCCAGCCCCAGGGCCCCCCAGGCCACTGCCCCCCAGCGGGAGGTGGAGGGGAGCGTGGGGCTGCTCCGCCATCCTCTCCGCCCGCCCCTGCCTCGGGAACACCGCCGCGAGGCGGCGACTGCCAGCAGAAGCCCGACCTGGCGACCGAGGACCAAGAGGCCCAAAGCCTGGGCATGTTCCGCCTCCCCTCCCGCCCCTGCCGCGGGGACGCCGCCGCGCGGCGGCGACCGCCAGCACCAGCCCGGCCTGGAGAAGCAGGGCTCGGGCCTGTGCTTCTGGGCTTGGGCCTGGGCCCGGGCTCAGGCCCGGGCTCGAGCTCGGGCCCGGGCCCGGGCTCTGGCTCCGGCTCGGGCTTGGGCCTGGGCTGCGGCTTGGTGGGCGTCGGCTTGGGCGCGGCATTGCGCTCGGGCTCGGGCGCGGGCCAGAAAGACCAGACCGCTGTCGCCGACAGCGCGGGCGACCCAGAGCTCCGAGGGAGCGGCGGGGCCCCCACCGCCCTTTGGAGCCTTCCCTTCCTGCTGGCTGGAACCGATGTTGGGCCACCTCTCACTGCACCGACCTTGCAGACGTGCTGCAGCGGATTTTCGCGTAGACTTCTGTCACTGCAAAACCCTGGAACGACGAGCGAAAAGCGAAATTAGTTTCACGTGGATTGTTTGACCTCTTCATTCCTGGCCCAAAACAATCCGCACGAAATCCATTTCTAAATCCGGGACGACATTCTCCAGGACAGTCCGGGCCCATCCCATTATTTTCCGAGCGAGGTCCTCTCTGCGATGTATCTGCCATGACACCTCGTACCCCAAGCGGGCTCCAACGCAGGGCCGCCCCCCCCCAGTGCTCGCTCCCCGCGCTTGGGTCGGCCGCGGGCTCGGCGCAGGCTGGCCGCGCCTGCGCGGAGGGAAACGCTCCAAGGAACTCGCAGGTGAGCTGCTGGGACTGACAAGCGGTAGCAGGATCAAACAGGCATGGACGAACGTAATGATCGTGACAAGGAGCGTGCGACATGCTGCAGACGCGAAAACAGGATCGGCAGCCTCAAACATAAGAGAGGCATGGCTAGGGGAAGGAACAATGACATAAATCTAAAGCAAAACTCGGAAATCCGCGCGGACCTCCTAGTTTTTTATATTTCTGTCATTGTTCCTTCCCCTACTGGATAAAAACAAAAACCATTCCAATGTCAAATTACTTCTTTCGCGAGGCGAGGCGCCAGAGGCTCTGATGGACACCGCGGACCACCTCGCCAGCTCCGCCAGCCCCCTCGGGACCGCGCGGCTCCGAGGACAGCAATACCCGCCTGGTCACCTCGTTTACCTGTCACGGAGAAGGCAAAGGCCAACCTCCTCCAGAGGTCCTACCAGCGCAGCCTTGGCGACGGTGCCGACCAGAAAGCAGAAGGCCGGCGCGATGTCAGCCATCGGATCGTCATCGGACGTCGTAACCCTCGGCGCCATGATCGGAGTCGCCTGGAACCCTCTGCATGAGGAGACGCTGCAAATCTGCCAGATCCAAGGCTCCTTACTCCAGCAATGGATCGAAAACCATTACCCAGAACAAGCCCTCCACTCCAGAGACCGCCTGGTAGAGGTGCACTGCATCAGTGGCCACGCCATCCACGTGACGGATGCCTGCAAAAGCCTCGACCTCATCATCAAGTCCTTAGCTGTGATGGCCGTGAGGAATGCCGCTGTATACGTCGGCCACGGCAGATCTGGGAGGGCCTTCAAGAACGCGTCGACGAAATTTCCGACGACCGCCAGACGTCCTATCGTATCTCGCCCGCCTGAAATTCAAAGTAGCCCAAGCCACCTACGACGCCATGCCAGAGAACCATCGCAGCGGCTTCAAGCAGATCTCCATTATGGAGCTGGGCGCGCTCGTCCGATTCAGCCATGCACGCGCCACCTCCAACACGGACGCAGCCTGGCACGGACTACGTAAGCTCCGAAGACAAATATGACTAGATTTCAGATGTCGGGGAGACGTGAGACTCGGGTACGGGGGACTCGGGTTGGCCTGACGGGGGCCATCATACAAACGACGAGACCCGACTTGAAATTCGGCGCGGGCTCCAGCTGCAGACATCCCACGAACACGGGGCCGTCAAGATCTAGGACGCGCTCGTCGAAATGAAATCGGCAAACCCGAGTTCTGGCTTACTCGAGTTTCACGTCTCCCAGAAGATGACCCAGGAGGCTGAGCCGAGAGACGCTGGACTCTGGGCCCACCCACCTCGGGACACGGCGAGCTCAGCGCCAACCTGGTCAGCCCCGACCAGGGCTTGGAACCTCCGTGGCCACGAGGATGGGGAGGAGCACGCGAGAGGATAGGACGCGGAGGATTCCGCCGCCTCTTCTTGGCGGCGCGCGGAGGGGGGTATAGGGGGAGGGGGGAAGGCTTCTTGAAAGGAGGCTGCTGCTCAGAAGGCGCGGGCCTTCCATCCACAGACAGGGCCCGCGCCTTCTGAGCAGCAGGGGTGCTTCTGAGCAGCCTCCCCCCCCTCCCCCCCCCCCTCTGCGCGTGGCGGAACACGGCCGCCGCAGCTCCCGGAGCTGCCGAGGCTGCACCCTCGCAGCTGCCCCCCCCCGAGAGAGGCCCACCAACCTCGCCCACGGGCGCAGCACCTCGTGCAGCGCGTAGCATTTGGACGGCCAGGCCGCCGCGCCCTGGGGGCCCTGCTGCGCGCCGACCGCGGGCGGCGCCCGTGCCGTGCAGGGCCGCGCTTCGCGGCAGCGCTCTGGGCGGCAGGGCCGCTCGTGCCGCCCAGCCGGCGCACGGCCGGCCCTGGCCGCGGCCCGCGCGGGGCCCGGCCACCGCACACGGCGGGCACGCGACCCACGCTGGGCCCGGGCACGCCCGCGGTGCTCGAATGCGTCTCGATGAACTCGAGGCGGCGGCGGCGGAGGTACTCCGATGGGGGACGCGGGGGGAGGCCGCCGAAATCCGCCAGCAGGGCCTGCGCCCGCAACCGGCGGAGCCGCCGCACGTTCTGCGACGACGGCGTGCGGCCGAGAGCGAGGGTGGCCTCCCTTGCACACCCCCGCTCCCCTCTCCTCTCGTCGTCGGTGATGCTTGTGTTTCTGCCGCTGTCGTCCCTGGCTTTGCGACGACCCATCTCTTGTCGACGGCCCTCCCTCGTGGCAGAGGGGCATGGCTGCGTCTGCCACAAAACCATGAAGCCACCGGCCACACCCACCTGGGGGTTGGAAGCAGCGGAGGGGGCGAGGAGGAGGAAGAAGCCGAGGAGGCCGAGGAGGAGGAGGAAGAGGAGGAGGATGGACCGTAGCAGTTCTTAGCTCAAGAGCTGGCCCAGCGGGCCGGCTCAGGCATCGGCGCGTGTTGTTCGAACACTGTCTACGTCAAGTCTTCGGGCACCCGCCTCTAAGGACACATGGCGGATCTTGTCTTTGAAGTCCATGGAACCGGTCCGCGTCGCCTGTCACATGTTCTTAGGTCGCACCTCCAGGGGCTGCAGCGAGCTGCACGGCTTGCGCAGCGCGCTGGGTTGATATCGAGCCAGCCCTCCAAGAAGTTCTCGAACCTTTTCATTGCATCAATTACTTCGGCAAATCACTGCCCCCAGAATCCAACAGCTTCTGGCCGAACTGGAAGAACAACTTGTCGCAACTGCAATCGAAAAGCGGGCAGGGCACAGCGACGACACCAAGAAAGACTACACCACTCTCAATCCAGAAGCCCAGGAGCTCGTCCCCCAGTGCGTGCTTCCGCCGTTTCTCGCAGCAATGCCGCATAACGGCGCGCGGTACTTCAAGCTGGACTGAGAGTGCGGCGGTGGCGGAGGCAGCAGGCGCACCCCCTCCCGACCCCCCGCGAAGCTGGACGAGCAGTAGAGCTACTGCGGCCACGACGCGAGCCCGGAGTCAGTCGTCGACGGCGCGGAGGGCGCGGGCGGCGACGGCGACGTCGACGCGGACGGCGAGGACAGCCCCGGCTTCGGTGGAGCGACCGACATAAGCACGAGGGTGGCGCGGCCGGCGACGTTGGCGCGCTGGGCACGCGGAAACGGCCCGCGTCCGCGAGGAGCGGCGCGCCCCCGAAGAAGCGGCTCCGCCTCCGAGGGGAACAGGGCCGCGACGGGGGCGAGAAGGACCTGCGACGACCAGGCCGTGGGGACGGCCGAGACGCACCGCGAGCGCAGCGCTGGCGGGGGCAGCCGGTACAGCCCCACTGAGCTCCACGCGGAGCTGGGCGAGCGGCAGAGCCACGACGACCAGGCCGCAGGGACGGCCGAGGCTCGCCGCGTGGAGCACGCCGGCCAGGGCAGCGGGCACGGCGCTGGCGGGGGGCACCCGGCACACCCCCGCCGCACCCCGCCCCGCGGAGCTGGAGGAGCCACGGCAGCACGGCGGGGCTGAGGCGGCCACGACGCGGAGCCCCCAGCGAAGGCCCCCGGCGCCGGCGCGGCTGGGGCGGGGGCAGGGCGCCAGCTGGCACGCGCGCGGGAGGGCGGCCGAGAGGGCGGGCGCAGGAGGCGGCGCCGGCGCTGGTGGCGCAGCCCGCCGAAGACGCCAGCGGCGAGGACCCAGACCGGTGCACGCCGAGACGATGGCGCCGGCGCCCTCGGCACGGCTGGCCTCGGCGATGCCTAGAGCTCCTCTGGAGACGAGCTCACCACCTTCGGCACCAGGAGGCGCTGCATCGCTCCAGGGGCGCCGGCGGTCCCACGCAGTCTTCG